CTGGACTGGACACTTAAGATTTTCCCCTAAAATGGAGGCTATTCACTCTATGTTCTGCAGCCCCGGCACAGGGAGGAAGGGAGGCCATCTTGACGGAGATCTTACACGAGAAGCTAAGATGGCTGGGCTGGCACATGAGGTGAGTTGCATCATGGTCTTTATTTTGTGCGTGTGTGTGTTTATTGGGGATATTATAGCCCCCTTCATTTGCCCCCTCCTTGCTTCTAGCCTATCTGATCTTACTACATTAATTAGCGAGAGGGTTTTGGCGGGGGCTTGGCAAGGAAGAGGGGGAAGCAAAGGAAATAAATGAACTGGCAATGACTGTAGCAGCGACTGCCATCTTCCTTTGTTAAAGCTGCACGAATCGATTTATTTCGATTTTTACATGTTCAAAAGTTTTCGAATTCGGGGCTGCGTAAATGCAAAACAACAAATGCATGACTTCAGTTCAATTCCAGTTTATTTGTATAGCGCTTTTCACAATACATGTTGTTTCAAAGCAGCTTTACAGAAAAGACTTGTTTCAATGTTACAATTAGGAAGTATTCTGCTATCTGCCAGAGCTGAGTGTATCAAAGCAATCTAGCAGTAATGGACAACTGTGATGTAATACATGTTATGTAGTTAGTCAGCGTCATATATTCAGACACAATGAATGTGTAGCGATTACAACTTGTGCTTGTAATGATTACAGTATTAGGATAATATTACAATATAAAGACAATATTTGATAGTTTGGTATGTCGTTTCAAAGTTGGCGTAATTTGAAGTCTTTGCAATTGTTGGTGAATTGTTTAAAGAATGAAAAGACTGTTGAATTAGCGAATGCATGAATGCATTAATATATGAAAGCATGAGTAGACATTTATAATCTTTTGAGAACGGCAGTCAATGTAAATTTAGATAAGGCAAGTCAAATGCATGTAATTTAGAATTAGTTTGAAAATGTTCTCATTCAAAACACATCAATTCATATTATATGTCTTTTTGCCCATGCTTTTATTATGGCCTTACATCAATTAAGACTAGCTCTAAAAAATGTATCTATCACACTTAAAATAAACTAGCGAAGGCGAAAAGATGATGAAATAGTCTATAATATTTTACATAATTTTATATATATACTTAAATATACACTTGTCTGATCATTCGTACTGCAATTACAAAAAAATATTTGTGCACATATATACATAGTTTTCCTAATATATTCATACAAATTTGAACCTCAAATATTGATAAAAAAGCTTATATATTCATATGAACATCAGTGAATGATATATGTGATGTATACACATATTTTCCATACATAAAAAAACTAAAATACAACTAATTGTAGAAGTCACAGTATCTTGGTGTTGTTCATTGGCTTCACAGACACAATGCAATTTTCCAAACAGCGTGGGTCGCCCCTCTGCCTCCCCTCAGTCTCAGGCCCTGGCAGAAACGGCCCGTCGTGCCCCTGGCGATCTGGTTTGGGGTTTTCTGAAAGGCAGGGAGAGGGTGAAGCTGGTATGAGGGCCGGCGTGGGGCCGGGGCCCGGGGCCGGCAGCTGCAGCATGCGTGCCTTTAATGAACAGAACATGGTGTCGGACATTAATATTCTGCCCAGCTCGCGGCTGGTCCCTCGCTCTCAATGGAGGCCCCCCTCCTTTATAAAGAGCTCTGCTTTCCCACCATTGTCAGGGCCGCTGCTCCTGCAGCACTAGAGAGGGGGCAGGGTGGGAAACACCGATGCAGACCAGACACCACCAGATGCCAAAGACACGAGACGGTTATGCAGATCGCAGAGCCTTTGTGTGTGTGTGTGTGTGTGTGTACAGGGGTGTGTATGTTTACAGACGGAGGGTGTTCGCCACCTGATCATCTTAATTACTTTGCATGTAGTTAATACGTGTCTGAGTCTGAGTGGGATGCTGATGTAAATGGGCCAAGTGTGTTTTCGTGCATTAATAGAATGCGTTGAAGGTTATATTGTTCTCTATTGTTTCTTGAGTGCAGATTTAGCTGTTAAATTAAAATAATATTTTGTTTTTAGTACATTACCCTATCCTAACAAACCATACATCAATGGAAAGCTTATTTCATTTCAAAACAATTTACCCTTATGACTGTTTTGTGGTTCAGGGTCACATATAAAGTTATTTGCAGTCCCAGTGCAACTGCAGCGATGTACTTAATGTACTTATTGTTGTTGAAATATATTGAGAAATGTCCTCAGGTATTCATTGTTTCAGATCCAGTAAAGAACGAAACAGTTGTTTGTTGATGAAATTAATAGACCTCTGGGAAACGTACAAGGCTGCATGGGTTGGTGATTTGCATCGGCACTGTGATGAAGGTCATATGACATCAGAGGCGGGCACCTTGTGCACTGTGAGCTCCGCAGAGTACAGAAACAATCAAACAACAACCCCACCTCAGTTTCCCCTCATCTAAGAGAGGGCACAGAGATACAGAGAGAGAAATGATAATGCTGATAATAAGCCATTACAGTGATAGAGATTTGAAAATTAAAACAGAAAGGAAGGAAAATAGGCAAGGGTTTGTGGCGACACATTGCGAGACTGATCGATTCAGAGGGTGGAAGGAAGGAGGTGTGGACGCGTGATGAAGAGACATGTTTTAGTTCCACTAGTGGCTCACGATACTGTAAACCTCAGGTCTGCGGTCACTTCCTCTGCTCTAGTTGGACGCCCAACATAAGGGACAAAAATTCATATATCAGAATTGCATATGTGATAGTTCAACCATCTCAGACATATTAAGTGTTGATAACACTGTATGCTAGCAAAACTACTCATACACTACCGTTCAAAAGTTTGGAGTTGGTAAGATTTTTAAAATGTTTTTGATAGAAGTCTCTTATGTTCATCAAGGCTGCATTTATTTGATCAAAAATACAGTAGATCTTAAAATGACATTTATTCCTGTGGTGCAAAGCAAAATCATTCTAATATGCTGATTTGCTGCTCAAGAAACATTTATTTTTATTATTACAGTAAAAAAAAAAAAAAACAGCATTTCTATTGAACAAACCTCTACTGAGATTGCTTTTAATGGTTACGTTCCCAAAGTCCTCAGTAATATAAAACTTAAAATAGCAATAGTAATAATAATGAAAATAGTCATTTTAAATGAACTTATTTTGCCTTGAGATTCTTATAGTTCCTCTGACCTAATTAAAACCCAGCAGGCAGATGTTATTAAAGCTTTAACCCTTTCGCGGTCCGGGGGCACCTTATCGGACTGAAAGGGCACTGTAGCGTCGGCGATTAAAGGGGCGATTAAAATCCCCGCATGCACGCCACTGTATTACAGTGTGTACAGCAATCAGATAATCTTAGTATGTGAAAAGGAATATGAGATATGTGAAAAAATATGGTATATATAGATATCAGTAAACATTAAATATGTTATTTGCATTAAAAACATGCAAATTGCTGTCAGAGTTGTGGTGCAGTGGACTATTTGACAGCTCTTTTCTGTGTCTAAGATCATTTAAAAAGTCCCAAAACATGCTAATCGCTGAATAAGACAGGAGTATTTCAAGGTTAAAAGCAAGTTCATTACCTCAGATAATAACCCTAACCTAAACAAAAAAGGGATTAACAGTAATGCACTTCCAGTGGAAGTCTATGGGGAAACTGCACAACAGCTGTTTATTTCATTTCTAATCCAAATTATTTTAGAAATTGTTTCGTATTTTTATGTTACCCCGAAACCAGCAAAAACATGTCTATCAACAAAGCTTAGTTTGTATTGAACCTGTGATATTCCATCTGCTTGACTGTAGACAATCGCCATGCTTTTTGATCGTGTGCTGGATGATAAAGAGAAGTGCCTTGCATTATCTGTTAACACAGTCCGGTAAGATTAAATCAAGATCATGTCTGCTGTGTATTTAGGTCAACAGCCATGAGCAAAAGTCTGTCGTCTTTATAGGTCTTTGACTGTGTGTTATTAAACTGGGCTAAAATCGCACTCTATCAACTGAATCTGCTTTTAAACAGTAACAAGGGAAGCTGTTAAAAGCTGTTAAAGTTAGTAACTATAAGTGGTAAAGTTACTAATCACCAGAAAATATTATTATTTCTACTTCTAGGTGTTAATAATGTAAACAATATCCGTCATGTGCCATTCAGAGCCCTAAATGACAGTAAATGTAGGTCAAGTTTAATCTTAGTCTCTTAATACAACTTTGGCCAAGAACTAATCTATCTAGAAGCCCGGATCTTTAAAGTACAGACGGATGTTCCTACATCCGCATTTTTGTTTTTCATTACGATGATGGGAAACCCTTAAGATGAGCATCAAAACAGAAGCACTTGACCTGATTTTTGAGTCGGATTTGGTTCCGTTGTCCGATTTCTAATGGGACAAAGTCAAGGCATCATTCGCAGATGTTATGTGGGTTTGTTTATGATTTAATTGCTGGAAATGTGTATTACAGCACAAGTCGATTAAATTACCCGAGTGTTGAAAAAGATGTTTATAGTTTATTTATTAGGGCTGCTCATTAGCTGATGCAAAGCGCCTGTAACCCTTGAGGCTCGTGAGTTGAATTGAGCCTCTGTGATGAAACGCAGGAAAGAACTGATGAAGAGAAAAGCAGACGCTCCTCAAACAATAGGACTTGAAGGAATAGTTTACCCAAAAATCTAAATCCTGTCATCATTTACTCACCCTCGTGTCATTCCAAACCTGTATGAATTTGTTTTTCCCTCTGTGGAACACAAAAGAAAGTCTGTTTTTGTCTACATAATGAAAGTCAAATGGACTTTGGCACAAGTTTGAGATATTTTTTAGAATGTCTTATTTTGTAGACAACATGAGGGCGAGTGAAAGATAACACCATTTTTATTTTTTTAAGGCAAGACATACAATCAAAATGATGAGTGGTGAATTTTGGGCTCTTTTGCTTCCATGAAATGTCATCTTTCTGAATAGTGGGGGGAAAAAAACAAGTGTTTATTTTATTTCACTTTATCTATATGCCAGAAATGTCCAGTAGCACTTACATAAACCAAACTTTACTGTTTTATTCATATCTATATTCTGAAGGTTTTTACATAGTGGTTTGTTCATATATCATTCGCCTGATTTATATAACATTTTATTTCTGGCTGCTGACAGTTGACATTTTCTGAATCATGGAGTAATATTAGGGTTAAGGGTTTTTACAAAAGCTCCATATATGTCAGCAAAATGAAACAAGAATTTTGAACCTGTGTTCAGATTTCTATAAAACCCTGTTTCCACCACGGGACAAAAAAAAATTATAACAGAGGTAATTGCGACTTTTTTATTTCACAATTTAGATGTTTTTCTTGGAATTTTAACTTTTTTTTCTCGCAATTCTTCTTTTTTTTCTTCTCAGAATTATAAAATTAGTTATAAAGCCAGAATTGTGAGATGGAAACTCACAAATCTCACTTTTTTTTCAGAATTGCAAGAAAAATAAGTCTGAATTGTGAGATAAAAAAGTCTCAGTTACTTTTTTTATTTTTGTATCCCATGATGGAACATGTTTCCATAGATTTCTGTGCATTTTTAATTACATACTGCCTCATGTCCGTATTTATAAATTTCAGTAAAATTGTAATACAAAATTTGATGTCTTACCGTACTGTTATTAAGTAACTGGGGAAGTATGGTGATATCTATTAGTTAAAAATGTTACCCTATTCACCTGAGCTGTCTAATTTCTAATTTCACCCACTTCTGAAGGGTGATTGATTTTACGACAGGTGAAACGAACAGTCAGGGAAGTCAAGTTCAAGTACACATATGTCTAGACCGTCTCGTTCCATACCGTCCCTCTTTCTTCGCATACGGGGGGTCTGTTTGCCCTTTGACCCGTGTGTAAGTTGCTATGGAAGGGCGGCGAGAGGGTTCAGTAATGTTCCTGTGAAAAGGCCGTGCTGTCAGGGCTGTCTAGTGACGTCCCCCCTTCCCCCCCTCTCTCCGCAGCTGGGCACGGTCCTGGAGCCTGGGAATCTTTGGGCTCAGACCTGGTCCACCCCCCCATTGAGGCTCAGTCTAGCCGTACCCTCACCCCACCATCTGCACGCCGCCGGTTTCAAGTTCAAATCGTCTAGCCGTACCCTCACCCCACCATCTGCACGCCGCCGGTCTCAAGTTCAAATCTAGTCCCATAATGCACATATGATGCACAGAGGTGCAAAGGTTTGGTTGTAATTGCAGTAATGCATGTGTGTTTTTATGCACTGCTCAGTAAATACAAATGGAGCTCTGCCAAGACCGCCGTCTTGTAATTGGTTGGCGCTGATGAAGGTGTGTGTTGGAGTCGGAAAGAGAATTACAGTGTGTAAGAATGCGTGTGTGTGTGTGTGGTTGTCGGGCAGCAGGAGGGTATAATAAAAGGAATAATTTGCATAAGCTGCATGGAGCCTGAAGAGGATGTTCGGAGAAAAACAACAAGAAAGAAAAAAGGACAAATCCTACGTTGCGCGGGCAGAAAGAGAAAGCGAGAGCTTGCGTATAGGGGAGAGGATGGAAATGAACAGAGAAAGACTTGAAGCTGCTCCCCTTTGGTAATGAAAGGCATCAGGAACCTCAATGCATACTATTTGAACACTGTGACAGAGCGCTTACACTGTTTACAAAGGCCTATTGAGGAAGAGAGAAAGAGATTGATTACAGATCATCTATTTTGCTTTTGATGAGCGTGGAACATGGGAAAATATTAAAATTGTATCATCGTCACTCTGCGGCCTCTGTACGTCTCTGTGTGAAGCTGTATTGTGGATTGTGTTTTGAGCGGCAGGCACAATGGCATGTTTTATTCTGATCGTTTGCCTAATTTACCCACATAATGTCTGTGCAATTAAAAGATCACTGTTTAAGGAAGCAGGTCTTTTAGATTGTACGTTAATGCACCTCTAAGTATAAGCACCTCTGTTTCTCTTTTACAGATATGGATGAACTCGGTGGATTCACACTTTGTCGAAAATTAGTCGAAAATCGACAAATTATTCATCCAGAGAGAACAATGGGAGCCATAAGAGGCACATAAAATCATGTTGATAATGATGATGTGTGTGTATATGAGAGCAAAAGTATTTTGTCTTTAATAAAAAAGAATTGTACTGTACTGTATTATACAGTATTTTCATTAAGGTTATATTTTATATGTGTTTTTTATGTTTGCTTTTTTCTGATGTTTTATTTTCATTTAATTTTATTTATAGGCTAAATAAAAAATTTCTGATGTATATTGTATTATACGGATGAATAAAAGTGTGATTCAAAAGTGAATGATATGAATCAGCTTTGTATTTGCATTTTACTGACGTCAGATTGTGTCACACCTGGCAAACCAGTGAAGAGTTAATTACTGTGAGTTAATTAGCTTAATTTGTGGGCTTCATAAAACACTTGTATATTGTTGAGAATTATGATCATCCTGAAGGGCAGATTTCAACGGGCAGCGTTTTGAAAAGGTTTGTGTTTTAGCTACAAGGTTTTCAATAAGATATTTTAATAAGAACCCTTAAAATATAATAAATGACTTTAGCACGATTCATTTCCAATCCAAATTTGTTTAAAAAATGTTTTAAATAATAATAGGCTACACCTTTTAGAAATAGAAAAATACCCTGCAGAAATTATGCGATTTGTCGTTAAAATGTACTATAAATTGAAATGGCTGTAATTGGATATCTGTATTGTTTTAGTTATTTATTTTACTATAAAACCAAATTTCACAAGCACACACACATGTATAATTTTCTACTCGTTCACGCTATAGGCTTATCAGTTTCTCTTATTCCTCGTGCGTTCATGCAAATGACTGTGCGAGTTTCTCTATCAGTGACCTCTATGCCAGCTAGCAGTAAGTGTTAATTAGCCAATGAATAGAGGAGATGTGAAGACCAGACGCTAAAACGGGCTGGGAATTCCGCACGCGAATTCACTAATCCTACTATGGCAAAGGATTTCCAATTCATATTCATAAACTAAGCGTTCGACATTTGGAAGGATACCGAGCAACGTCAGCACGACCTACTTAGTATTCAAGAGACAAACGCTCCCCATTGGAAGGTTACGAATCAACGTCAGCGAAATCAAATAAATATTCAAGACACGAGCTTTCAGCATTGGAAGTTGTAGCAAGTGACGTCAGATGGCCTACTTAATATTCAAAAGCTAAGCTTTTGCCATAGTAAGATTCATAAATTCTCGTCAAGGAAAGGATTTTCGTAACAGACACTATAACATAAGCTGTGTATATGTGTGTACAGCTGTGGAAATGAAGAAGAAAAAAAAAAAATCAGCATAATTAAGTAGACTACCTTTACATATAAGGAGCACAAACGCTTTTAAAATATGTTACTAATTATGTTATTTAAAAGAAATGTAGCCTACTGTGTACCTCAGTATCCTTCGTTGACAAACTAGACCAAACGTAAATTAGATTCACATTGATTAACAATATTTCAGATTATTGAAGATTATAGATTGTATTAGTTCAATATTGGGTTCTGTACTGAGAACATTTTATTGAAAAAAGAACACTTTTCAAACATTTAAAACATGTAAGGCAAATTTTTCAACCATGGACAAATGTGATCTTGTAAAATAAATCATTATTATATAACATAATAAGTATAAAATTCCAGATTTAAATTTATTTTTAATTTTTTTATAATTACCAGTTATAGTACATTGAATTTATATTGATTGTATAATGGATGACATTGGGATTTTTTTCTTATTTAAATTTATATGTTGTAATTGTACCTGTAATTTTATACATGATTCACCTCAAAATATACCATGAATACATAAAACAAACAAAAAACACAAGATGCATTTTCTTTACCGGTAATTACCTTGACACCTTAAGACCAGACCAATAAATGAACACTTAATGGAGTTCAGATGAATGAATATCAGATGGACAGAGACCAGCTGGTCACTCCCTAGAGGACAATAAACTGGACCAAAATGACAGAGGTCATAGTTCAGAATGACAGGTCGAGAACTCCTAATTGAGTGGCGATTTCCTCTTTCTCCCCAGTGACCACTGAGGTCCCTAAAACGTCTGCATGTCAATGAACCCATATAGAGACCAAAGAGAGGTAACGGCTATGAAAAATAAGAATTGATTTATTTATACATTTATTTAGTTTTATTTTATTTTAAATGATTGAATTCTCAATTAAATTATACACAACAGACATTTGATTTAAGCTAATTTTTCTTTTTTTTGTGCAATTTGTGTTTTAAATAATTTTACAAACAATAGGAAAACAAGTGTTCTATCAGATAGATAGATAGATAGATAGATAGATGGATAGATACATTCCACAACTGTTGATTTTCTTTCAAAATGGCAGGATTTCTGTCTCTTCATGAGGATATATGTATATTGTACGCTAGCATACCAATAGAGCCGGAGCCTGTGAACCCCCCTGATCCTATGACCTCTCTCTCCCAAACATGAATAGCATCACTCAAGGCCTGGACAGGCTTTTCAACCAGCCTGAGTCGTGCCTGAGCTCCCAAACATGATGATTTAATGTATCCTCAGCCCCCCGGGTAGCTTTTGCAGGGACTAACAGAAGTTTGTTTAAGACACAAACCCCCTCTAAAGACATGCCTCCCCATCTAAAGCTTTCTCTCAGTTACACACAGGCAAACGTCCCACCCCTCCTGTTCTTCAGTCTCCACACTTGGCAAAATTAAGGGTCTGATCTAACAAGGGCTCTTTCATCTGCTGAGAAAAGCAGTATCTGTTCAACTGGCTTCTATAGGACTACGCTGGCAAAGAAAAGAAAGAACATTTACTCATTCTGAACTGAACCCATAATAATCTACACATTAAATCACTGCAGAAGATGTGAGAGAATTACCCATGTTAACGACCAATTGCAAAAAAAAAAAAAAAGAGAGATTTGTTAAAAAATATAAAGAGATACTTTACTGTATTATGCTGAATTTACTATATTTATTGCAGTTTTTACTCCATATCATTAGAACGAACAAAAAATGCAGGTTTATACGTAATTTAAATATAAAAGGACTCTTTACAAAAATCAGCTTTAATGTTCTTCTGTGAGGCTGACATCTCTGGATTATCTGAATTGTTTCTTGTTGCTTTTTTTCCAATGAATAGGCCTATTATAAATGCATATGTTAATGTTTTTATTGTTGAAAACAAATAAAATAGTTAAATCAATCATTAAGAACAATGTGATTTTATTTTAAATTTCAGTTTAGGTTTATAAACCGCAATATGAATCAGCTTCTGTTATTTGATGTTAAAACACATTATTGTTTCAGTTTCTACGTTGAAATATATATAAAAATGTTAAGTTACAAATAATTAAAGAATTTAGTCTCATTCTGAAAGATGTTCATTTTCTATGGCGATAGCGCCCTCATGCGACAATATTAAGACACTTGAATTCGACAAAAGTTCCTCTACAAACATTTTCAGAGCGACTTTGTAAGGTAATGTAGTAAGACTATGTTCAAATAGTGTCATGTTGTTTGTCTTTTTAGTGAGGGCATTGCATTTAAAATAAATAACATGCACTATCAAAGTTGTGAAGTATTAAGTAACAGTACACCTGTAATCGCAATATGATTGATTAATATGAGGCAGTTTTCGTGGAGTTAAATGTTATTTATGTGTTGTGAGTGTACCCTACGTTTTCTAACCATATAAATAAGAAAACGTTATTCAAATGGGAAAATCACGACCCCGGCAGGACTCGAACCTGCAATCTTCTGATCCGAAGTCAGACGCCTTATCCATTAGGCCACGAGGCCACACTTGTAAACTGTAGGAATATCTGGAAATAAGGGAAAAAGAGCGACTTTGTAAGGTAATGTAGTAAGACTATGTTCAAATAGTGTCATGTTGTTTGTCTTTTTAGTGAGGGCATTGCATTTAAAATAAATAACATGCACTATCAAAGTTGTGAAGTATTAAGTAACAGTACACCTGTAATCGCAATATGATTGATTAATATGAGGCAGTTTTCGTGGAGTTAAATGTTATTTATGTGTTGTGAGTGTACCCTACGTTTTCTAACCATATAAATAAGAAAACGTTATTCAAATGGAAAAATCACGACCCCGGCAGGACTCGAACCTGCAATCTTCTGATCCGAAGTCAGACGCCTTATCCATTAGGCCACGAGGCCACATTTGTAAACTGTAGGAATATCTGGAAATAAGGGAAAATCCTCTGACTGCAACATTAGATGTATCATGTAGAGAAGCGAAAGCGAAGGGAATCTCATGAATATTAAATAAGTAAAGCTGATGTTGCACCACTCACGTAACCTAACGTTACTTAATATTCAGCCAAGCTAGTGCGATCTGAACGTGAGCGAGGTAGTCTCGAATTTTTATTTTATTTAAACTATTTGCTGACTATTTTCAATTCAATTATTTTTTTAAATTATTTAGGTGAAAAATAGTCTCCACCACTGATGAAAATATCACACAGACGGCGTTATCTTGCGGTACCAAACACTAGGTGTCGCTGTGAGGCAAGTTGCGCTTCATAGAAACATAGGATTTCTTCGGATAGAGCTGTAGTGCATCCGAATGTGTTTTGGTCAATTGTTGTACGTAGGAATAAAATATTGTCTTTTAATATAAGAAACCGATTTGCAAGTATACTAGCATGGACAACAAAG